GATACACCTAAATTTCAAAGACTGGTGACGGGAAGCACACAACTTATCCGGGGGTGCCAGGCAATCCGCCTGCAGCGTGGTGAGTATCTATTAGTAGTCAGTAATTTTCTTGAAAAGCTGTTGTTGTGATGTGATAGAATATTTAAAAGTATGATTTTAAATATAACAGCGACTTCATAAGCTACGAAGTTATTAAGTGGTCTTTTAAGTCTTTGTGAAGTCGGTTTTAACTTTTTATGAGTGTTCTATCCTATAATGATCCTCTTGTTACTTGACTGAGCAATATTAGAAGTTCAAACTTCAGTAGCATTTGCTAACCGTTAATTTTTCTTTTCAAATATATGTTGGATAACCTTTGAGATGTATTTCAGGCTATTAAATAAAAAAATAGTCATTTAAATCGGTTTACAATTCGTGAAGATATCGCGTAATATATACACAAATAACATATAATATGTATAATTCTTATAACCCTTACAGTGCACTTGCAATGCCCCTGGTTACTGATATTGATTTGTTAAAATTAGCAGTTCAAAAATATTTATTGACCTTTGACATTATATTATTTTATTATATGTTGCAATGTATATATCTATTTATCTTTATACATAAAAATTATGTGTCACATTGTTTGTTCGCGATGAACTCCTAAACTACTGAACTGATTTCAATGAAATTTTGCACACTCTGTGCAGTTTGGTCCAACTTGAGAGATAAGATAGTTTTTATCCTGATAAGCAATACTCAATAAATTTTTATTGCGAATTTTAGGATTTTTTATATGAAGGGTCGTCGAAAAGGGCAGAACAAGGTCTGCCTGGCCAGTTAGTATATTATAAAAATCAATTGCAGTATGTTAGTCTCGCTAAAACTTGAAACTAACCAGACAGATTCTGATAAAACTTTTTTGAAGTTCGAATTCCTGGACGGTTTAAATTCACAATTGGACGCGTTAGGTGGCGCTGTTGTCGAGATCCAGAAGTAACCTGTGCTAAGCCGGGCGTATCACTAGTTGTATTATCACTTAATTAATAGAAATAAACTATAGTTTCATGCTGGTTCTTTTCTGAGGTCTTCTTTTTACGAACCGGTGTAGATTCTGATGTTCATAGAAACTTTAAACATTCTAAATTGAATAAAAGCTATAATTGGACTTTGAATTAGATATGGATAATCTTATTGAGAACCTCCTCCTTTTAAAAAAGTCAGAAAGGTGAAAAGAAATACAAAAAAAATCCTGTGTGTGTACGCACTTATATACGCACGTAGGAAGTTATACTTCTTTAGCGTAACAAAACAAAAATAACTAAAAATAACTACCTTAAATATAGTTACCAGTTCCCACGAAAACTTGAGAGACAGTAACCCAATGAAGTTGTCGCTTTGAGATGTCAGTGTACGCGCGCATCGTAACAACTTCATGGTCTCGTTTTTAGCTGTAGGTACGATGCACACGCGCATCGTAAAAAAATCACTCTCATAATTTTTCCCAAACGTCCCAAAAGATGTATACCTTCAAAAAATTAATACAGTTATGGTCATAAAACAACTGTAATAAATTTAGTAGTAAATAATCACACGAAGTACAAACCTCTACAGATCGAAGTTAAATCGCTTGTCCTACGACTATCAATCAAAATTACTCTTTGATAAATGTTCGAGGTCTCTCGTGACTTGAAAGTTTGTACTGCTGAAACTGAAACTTGGGCTTTTGTGTTTCCTTACTTTTGCCTTGTTACTTCTTGTTCTTGTGAATTAATTGTTTTCCACTTAATTATAATTAATCGAAATTATTCGCACAAACGAAGTAAACATTTTCGGTTAATACCACGAGGCGAGGACGTAAATATTACATGAGATATAAAGATATTAGTATAGGAAACATTGCAATATTTCTATCTTATATTTTTTGGTGTAAATATTTAAAAAATAAAAGTGGTTTCCTTCAATCTAGGAAATCATTCTTTACCGCTAGCTCATGTCAATCGGACGTTCGGTTGCGGAAAATAATGTTGTGTCTAACAGTGTTATGTCAAAGTATGAAAAATGCAACAAAATTATTAGGAAGGTTCATCCTGGTGTGGAGAGTCATCGTTGTGAGAAGATCGTGCATTTGTACACTGAATGCTTAGGGATTGTAGTAATCCAAACAGAGAAATGCACTTCGTGCAAATGAAAACCTAGATTGGTCGTGTTCTGAATGCAAACACACCTGATGATGAAGACGATGATGAAACATTTCGATCGCCTATAACCTCTGTCTCTATTCTATTAGATTGTAAAAAACTAATGCTACAAATAACAATAAAAGTGGAGAATTCTATTCAACATCAATTGGGCCGGTTAGCAGTTTTTGGAAGTCAATTCTGAAAAACTTGATGATATACTCAAAACCGCAGATGCGTTTAAAACTACAGTCAAAGAGATGAAAAAGAAAAATATCGAATTATCTAACCGAAATAAAACCTTAGAATTTAGAATAAGTGCATTACAACAGCGATTACAAGAACAAGAGCAGCAACAGATTATTAAAACTATTGATATTTTTCATATTCCCTTCACTGACAACGTAGATCTTTCAAAAGTCGTACAAAAAATACGAAAAAAAAACTCGACTTAACTAAAAATAACGTAGATGTAAAGCATTATAATAAAAATAACTCCAGAAAACTACGTGTAGTTCTACCGTCAGAAACTATTAAAACAAATTGGCTTACAAAAGCAAAGAATACGAAGATCATGGTACATGATGTCGTTCCCAGCGCATCACCCTTGATTCGTAAAGAAATCATCTATATTAGTGAGACTTTATCTGAATACAATAAGACCTCACTTGTAAATGCCAGAAGACAACTTAAAAGTAGCGGATTATACAAATATGTTTGGTGCAATAATTAAAAATTAAAAATTTTGTATAATAGACGTCAATATAACTTATTAAGTATAACTCAAAAACTTATCGTCAAGCTTTGATAAAATTTATACGAAACCACACGAGAAGCACCAGCTTTGAAATAAAAAAAGAATGATCGAATTCTGTTTACCCAGAGAAAAGTTATACCGTCAAATTGTCATTTTTAAATATGGAGTGGACGCTTAAAGAAGACCGTGTTGCAGTTATTGCGTTGCATCGTTGCGGTTACGCGCCAATTCAAATTTTTGACATACTGAAAAATTTGAATATAACCAAAAGATTCATTTATCGTACCATCAAACGATACAATGAAGACTCTAGTGTAGATGACAGCTCAAGAAGTGGTCGCCCTCGGTCTGTTAGGACTCCAGTAGTGATAAAAGCTGTGAAGGCGCGAATTCCATGAAATCCCAAACATAAGCAGAAACTGTTGGCCCTTCAGATGGGGTTAAGCAGAACCACGTGGAAAAGGATGTTAAATGAAGACTTAGGGCTTCGGGCATATCGAATAAAAACAGGACATCGTTTGAATGCTCGTCTAATGGACCTGAGACTGAAGAGATGCCGCGCTTTGTTGAAGCGGTACGCGGGAAAAAAATAGCGGGAAATTCTTTTTTCGGATGAAAAAATTTTTACCGTAGAAGAGAGCTACAACAAACAAAATGATAAGGTGTACGCACACAGTAGTGAAGAAGCGAGCAACCGTATTTCGCGTGTCCAATGAGGTCATTTTCCATCCTCGCTCATGGTATGGTTGGAAGTTTCTTATTGGGGCTTAACAGAGGTACATTTTTGTGAGAAAGGTGTAAAAGGGCGTTTTCCAAAAAAGTTGTACCTTGAAAAAAGTCAGTGTCCGACCACTTTCAGAATAAATTATCAAATTTTACAAAAGTTTTTATTACATATCATTTATTTTAACAATAAAGTAACATATAGTCTCATAAATCAAATTAAAATAAGGTCTGAATCTGTTATAAATCAAAAATAAAATCAAAATAAGTAAAACGAGGTCGATGTTTTTGTTAATGTCCCACATATACTGTGTCAAGTTCAGAGTCACATAATATGATGGTGTTATATTATTATTCAAACGTTTTGCATTTGACTGGTCATTTATGACCGTAACTTCAATTTTAAACCTTAAAATGTACATGTTACGAAGGAAAATTATTTTAAAATACCAGATTTTGGGTTGTCCTGCAAAATAGCGTATGATGGAATTTCCGCGTACGTGACCGCATTTTCAACGACTTCCAACAAAAAATACTACCAATTCAATACATTTCCCCAAATATAGCAACATTATTAGTCTATGGTGACTGCCATATTTAATTTTTGACAGCCAGTTCGCCAACAAAACGTACTCTATTCGAAGTGGTTGTCTCATGTGAAAAAAATATTTCCACAAACGATACTGCTTTTCTCCAGGTAACGTATTCATGTGTATTTCATTCTATTTTCTATTAAACATGTTAATTTATTGTTATTTGAAATGTTAAGTTATATTGAACAAAAGTTTGATAACTAATTAGTAAATTCATTTGAAAGTTTTATTGGCATGGTTACGTTACCTCCATTAACGCTACTATCGCATGAATGGAACTCAAAAGTGACGTAATGGAATCCGAAAGGTCGGTTCATAAAGTCATCGTTTTAATTAGTGTTCTAAAGTCTAAATAAATAAGTATGAATAAAATAACTATGAAATGCCTCGAATTTTTTAAATGAATTGCTTATTACTTAATTTCGTGTGTAAATCAAACAAGATTTTTCGAGTAGGTATTTCGGTTCAAAACACTCCATTCGGGATAACATTAGAAAAATAACAGTGAAATAACGATAGTTATTACGTTATATTGTTGAAATGGCTGCATTTAGTGTTCAATTTTAATGGTATCCTGAATGAAAATATTTTTTGTTTTTTGCGTGAATTGATCGTCAAAATATATGTGATAAACAGTTATCACATTTATTTTGACAATTATTTCAAGCAACGCTTTTTGTAAATCTATATAAATTTTTTTACAAAAATTTGAGATTTTTTCGTACACATTATGATAACTCACTATTGTTTTTAGGCTTAAATATGCCCTTGACGGCTGCAGAAAAGTCAAAACGGTACCGAGAAAAAATCAAACAAAACCCGGAAAAATATGAAGAATTTAAGAAGAAGGAAATACGAAGACAAAAGAAACACCAAAAGAAGATTAAAGAGCTCACTGAGGACGAGAAAATAGAAAAAAAGAAAACTCTGGAGAGAACAAAAACGAAAACAAAAAAAAACAAAAACACTCAACCGAATCTACAATCAGGGCAATCACGTGACGCATCCAATACTTCAGCTTCACATTCATTGAAAATTAGGTACCGAAAATTGTTAAATAACTATAAAAAGGCTTTAAAGACGATTCGTCAATATAATACAACAATACAGACTCTGAGAAAGAAATTATACCGAATGAAAAAAAAAAAACATGAAACCGAATTTGATTTATCGAACACAGAAAACGATAAATTGAAAGCAAGACAAGAAATAATGGGAATATCAATTCGTAGTACGTACAAGAATTGTAAGAAAAATAAAGAAAAACAATTACTTAAAAACGTGATTAGGAAACAGGCGCGAATATTGGAAAAAGCACCTGAAAGTAAGATTTTAGGTCTTATAGGAAGAATCAGGAAAAGGATTAATGTACAACGACCAATACATAAGAATACTCAGGAAGAAATAGAACTTTTTTATTTGAGAGACGACATTAGTAAAAGCACAGCTGGTAAGAAGGAAACCAGGTCCAAAGACAAACAAAAAGCACAAATAAGATACTTAGTCGACACACTGAAAAACGTTTACGAAATTTATAAAAAAGACGGTGGGTCATGCGGCTTCACCACCTTTTACAGATACAAGCCTTATTATGTACTGTCTCCAAGTATCAATAATAGAGAAACCTGCTTATGTATTAAGCACAGTAACTTTGAGTACATGTTTAATGCACTGAAATGTAAAGGTGTCATAACTTACAAGAATATAAAGGAGCTCTTGAACATCGTTGCATGTGATATTACGCGTTATGACTGCATGTACAATAAATGTAAAGATTGTAAGAGTATTTCATATGATGAACAAAAACTCGATTCTGCTATATCATGGTTCAAATGGGCTAGGGTAAACCATGAATATGAAAAATCTGGCAAAGTATATATAACTAAAAAGACCACCAAACAACAGGTAAAAGGAACTGTACTTGATATCATCACCAACTTTCAGAACCAGCTACCGGCGTTTAAAACTCATTTCTATAATTGGATTGAACAACAACGTCAATACGGAAATTATATCAAGAACATGAAAGATGACGAGATACTCATTTTATGTGATTTTTCGGAGAATTTTGAATGTAAATATAGTGAAGAAGTCCAATCAATGCACTTTGTTGCCTCCAAAAACACGATCACTTTACATTGTGGTGTAATTTTTTGGAAAAATCTATCCCAATCATTTGTATCTGTTTCAGATAACAATTGCCATGAGCCGAATGCCATCTGGGCACACTTGATACCAGTTATCAAACTTGCAAAAGAAATGAATCCTCATATCAAAGTTATACACTTTTTTTCAGACGGCCCATGCAGCCAGTACCGTCAAAAAAAGAACTTTTATCTTTTGAGTTTATTCACCCCAAAATTGAAACTATCATATTCAACATGGTCATTTTCGGAGGCAGGTCATGGCAAAAGTATGGCAGATGGGATTGGGGGTGCCGTTAAGAGACAATTGGATAAAAGGATTTCTTATGGTCATGATGTTACTAACGCCACTGAAGCATTTCAAATTTTAGAGAACAGCATGAAGACAGTAAAGTGCTTTTACATAAGTAATCAAGATGTTGAAAACATGAACCAACTTATTCCCAACGGCATTGAAGCTGTTCCTGGTACAATGCAATTGCATCAAATATCATCTACACAATGTAACCAGATTAAATATCGGCAACTGAGTTGTTTTTGTGGGGAATATCGTGGTTTGTGCAGTTGCTATTGTCCCAAAATACATAATTTTGTTAAACCATCAAAAGAAACTGCCGAATTGAGTGTTGAGGCCTTAATAGTTCCTAGGACGTCAAAAGACAACATGAACGTTACTCCTTGTTATTCGAGCCTAAGCATTGTGCCCCAGAAAATGAATACGGCAATTGATTATGAATTTCCAGAAAATACCCGACAGATAAGCAATTCCCCTATTCAGGTTATTCCTGATCACATGCTCCAAGATTTAGAAACATACCAAAGTGATAATGAAGAAAACATAAATTTTGATTTCCATGTGGGTCATATGGATGAAACTCCAATTTATTCCTTAGAAGACAACAATATTTCTGGACCACTCATAGATATAACTTCTCTGATCGATAATCAGAGATTAGTCGAACCTAAATCTGCTAGCATAATTCCAACACTGGAAAGTTCTTGCATGACAGCTTCAGATCACGTTCTTGGTAATACCCAAAATAAACAGCTCAAAGAGAATCTTGCATCTCTTGAATGTCAGCCCTCTAAGAAGAGAAAAATAAATATATCGAACGACAACAAACATAACGGAAAAGAATTTAAGTCATCAAGGACTTTTTTGTGCTCTATTTGCAAGGAGCGTCAGCCTTTTGTTATACAAAGAATGGTAAAATGTAATGCATGTAAAAATTGGGTTTGCCTGATATGTAGCGGAACAACCTTTTTTGACTACATTTGTTCGATTTGTCTTGGGAGTGATGAATAGTGTTGATTGATCTCAAATGTGTTTTTTCGTATTGTTTTTTTTTAGTGCTGTTTAAGTTACTTACTTTATTACTTTTTTTTTACTCTTTTTTGTTACAGTTTAAGACCGTTTACAACGTACAGCATTTCATACAAACTTTCAAGTCTTTATTTTTCGAAATAAATGAACCGATTTTAATGAAACTTCCTACGCATAAGCGGGATATATAGGTCCGAAAAGTTAATGAGAACATTTTCGAAAAATAATGTTACAGCTAAATTCGACCGATTTTAAATTTTCCATAGAAACAGATATTTCCAATTATCTTGTTTTAAATAAGACATTTCGAAAATGTTCTTTACTAATTTTTAGAGCTATGTGTCCTGCTTATGCGTATGAAGTTTCATAAAAATCGGTTCATGCATTTCGAAAACAAGGACTTGAAAGTTTGTATGAAATGCCGTACGTTGTAAACGCTCTTAAATGACATACTAGTAATTTTATGTTTAATACGATAAGTACAAGTTACCATGATTGCTGTCATAATTCAGAGTCATATAGACGTTGCCTTATAGTTCCTTTTTTTCTAAGACTAATTAATAGATCTCAAAGAAATTTGACTGTTTTTGTTCAATATAGTTTATTATTAATTTTTAATTAGTTATAATTAAACTTTTGAAAGAATATTTCTCATATTTGACGTTCTAGGATGAAAAAAATATAGTACAAAGTACCCAAAAGTAGCGTAAGGAATATCTTTGTTAAAACATTTTTTGATTAGATCTAATATGCTAAATTATTAATATTTTTTAGAAGACTGATTGTGTTTATTTTTCATAAATAAAGTTAAAAATACTGATATTCGTTTAGTTTTCATGAAAACTATTTTAAAATTAGTAACGTAATGGAATTTCTTGATAACATGATTTAATTAAAATTGTAATTATTTTCAAAATTCATTATTATTTTCTTAAAAAAAAATACTATTTTCATACTGCTCATACTATATTTTATCAATTTAATTACATTTTGAAGCTAAATGTTAAAACTCATATAAGTGGAATTCTAATTACGTCACCGACAATTTTTTTTAAAAACGCCCAAAACCGAATGCACTTGTGTATCAAAATACAGTCCTAACGAACCTTGTGGAACCTGTTTCTCATACCATGTTCAATAACAGGCACTGGGTATTCCAACAAGATTTGACGCCAGCTCATAAAGCGAAGAGCACACAAGACTGGCTGGTGGCGCGTGAAATCGACTTCATCCGGCACGAAGACTGACCCTCCTCCAGTCCAGATTTGAATCCGTTAGATTATAAGATATGGCAGCACTTGGAGGAAAAGTCGTGCTCAAACCCTCATCCCAATTTGGAGTCACTCAAGACATCCTTGATTAAGGCAGCCGCCGATATTGACATGGACCTCGTTCGTGCTGCGATAGATAACTGGCCGCGCAGATTGAAGGCCTGTATTCAAAATCACGGAGGTCATTTTGAATAAACTTTAGTGTCATAAGAATCTATGTTTTGTTAAGTTCATTTTGGTATATAAATGGTTACTAAATAATGAATAAACTTGTTTCAATTATTTTATATTAAACATGTGACTGAATTTATGACCTGACTAGGTAATATATTTAAATATTATTTAAATGGACATACATTTAGACGATATTTGTGAATTGAGTAATTGCATCAACATACATTTCTTTTCAAAAACACATTCCTGTTAAAAATTGTCAAACTAACCTTTTATGCATCTACATAAATATAAGGTCTTTGATTAAAATCTTTAATGCATTAGAACAGTGTGTGTACTTATCTAACGCATCTATATAATATATTGTATTGGTAACGAAAGCTAATATACCTGACTCCCTAAGTGATATGTATTACCTACCAGACTATCAAATGCACACAGTGCTGCGTAAAAAGCGAAGGGGTGGCGGTATCATATCATATATACATAATATTTCAAATAAGCACTCCATCTTGTCATGCGGCAACTCTATGTGCAATTTATTGGCCTCCTAATCTAAGCAAATACTTATTTATCGATGAACTTCACACATTAATCGGTAGTCTGCATACAAATTGCGAACTATTTTTACTGGGAGATATGAACATAGACTTACAAACATACGAGTAATTATTCTCCTATAAGACATAAATGAAACTGCATGCTTCATAACTACGGCCTTTCGGGTGGGATTACGCAGTACCCTAGAATTAAATTAATTAACGATAGAATAACTAAATTTTGTATTGATCATGTGTACGCGAGATCATGCACACAATATGGTGTATCACTCACAAACTTTTAAAATTAGTAGTCCACGCAATTGCGGATCCCCTGGCTGCGATATTTAGCTTAAGTATCTCGTCAGGAGTTTTCCCAAGCCAGTGGAAGTAGCGGCAGTTATCACCATATACAAGAATCGAGCTAAGGACAATCTTTGTAATTATCGTCCCATATCACTGCTGGGTGGTTACTCTAAGCTCCTGGAACGCGTTGTGCATAAGCGGTTTATTATCTTGAAAATAATAGTATACTCTCGGAACGTCAGTTTGGTTTCCATCTAGAAAAATCGACTGAGGATGCAGTAAGTTTTCTCACACGTATGGTTGTAACTCATCTCGATCAGGGTTGATCCTGTGTCGGTGTTTTTCTCGATCTGGCTAAAGCATTCGACATGGTATCGATCCCCATCCTTCTCAAGAAAAAAAAAGTATTCGTAGTCTGGCTTTAAACTGGTTTTCCAGCTATTTGTCAGATAGAAAGCAATGTGTCCCAATAGGCGATCAAGCAAGCGATCTTCGAACTGTAGATTTTGGCGTTCCTCAGGGTAGCATTTTTGGGCCGACTCTTTTTATTTTATACATTAATAACATTATGTCAATTGAACTCGAAAATAGTGAGGTTGTACGTTATGCTGACGATAAAGCATTAATATTTTATGGTAAATCTTGGCCCGACGCCTACCATTTGGGCGTCTTCGGGTTGCATACAAAAATAGTTAAATTACAACATCTGAAAACTAAACACCTAAAAACGCAGTCAATTTGTTTTCATAAAACTGCAGCGTCTGAACCGCCGCCTTCACTTTTCAATAGCCTTAAAGTACGCAATAACAACTGTAGATTTGGCTCGGCTCGCTCTTACCCTATATTCTATATAACACGAACTAGAACATACAGCGCGTTTTCTTACACCATCTCCAATTCCACCTGTGCCCAGACCTGACGCCTGACGTGTTAGTCATGTTACAGATATATTAATAGTATAGTTGTAGCACGAATTGGTCGGTTCGACCTTGGAAGGACCACGCTCTTAGAGTAACAGCGTAAAATAGCATATTGATGCTGCTGTGTTTCGTTTGGTGAGTGTAGAGACCCTTTTTACTGGAAAAGAGGCATTCCATCTTAGTCCTCACGGCTGACAACGCATCTGCATTTTATTCAAAAACGAAGATTGATGTAGATGTCTACGAACCACAGCAACCATTTACCATCAGATGGACTGTGTGCTCGCTTGACACCCTTATCCTATAAAAAAAACCTCAACAGCGGATCTGGTCTATGGCTTCACCGCCACCTAAGTTTCCCCATGCTGTAGAAAGAGCAGAGCATCCCGATACCGACCTCAATTCTCGTATTTTGTAATCATTCAGATTATTGAACAATATACATTACATACAAGTTACTGTAGACATCATTTCCATTTGGGATAGTGTAGTGAAAGGGATTGAGTCGGCCTTATTGCGTAATAAAGAGAAAGTTTTAATATACGGCGCCTTTGTACTACTACACAATAAGGAGATCCCTTGGTATCTCTAGGTGCGGTGCGATAGACACTAACTCGGAAAGATTTTGTCTAACAAAAAAGGTTTCTTTGTTACTTATTGCAAGTAGCTGAATTAGTTTGCGGCTACTGATATTTTTCATACTAAGAAACAGTCGAGTCAAAGAAGCTTATAAATTATGTTATAGCTTTGAGTTTTTCGGGAAAATTATAACTTTAAATTAATAGGTATATTTTTTACGTGGTAGAACCATGCTGCAGCTATATTAATAGTATAGTTATAGCACGAATGGGTCGGCTCGACCGGGGAAATACTACGCTCTCACAGAATACCAGCGTAAAATAGCAGCTTAATGCTGCTGTGTTTCGTATGGTGAGTGTAGAGAACCGGAGACCTATTTTACTGGAAAGGAGGCATTCTATCTTGGTCCTCATGGCTGACGACGCATCTGCATTTTAATTCGCAAGCGAAGATAGATGTAGATGTCTATGGGCCACAGCAACCACTTACCATCAGGTGAACTGTGTGCTCGTTTGTCACTCTAATTCTATAAAAAAATTTAAAGTTTTTTATTGGACCTTTATTTTTTATGTTTAGGCTTTCGCAGCCATAAATAAAAGATTTATGATTTCGACATTTACATTATATGAATATAAATATTAATAATACCTAATAACTAGTGGTCGCCTTGTGGTCGCAATTCGACATTAATTTATTACATTTTTAGGTTTTATTCTAAGCTAACTGTATTTCACTTTCAGTAGCACTTTAATATATACCTACTTTAAATATCTAATATATAAAATATAAAATAAACGCTTTTTGCCATGAGACACTCCACACACTATCAAAAAAGGAACATTTGAAATCACACAAAATTCAAAGCTTATTCAGTCAATCTCTCAGTAATTATATTTTGCAACATTTTAAAATTCTTTGGCGACAATCTCTACTATGTCCGACCAGTGTTTGACCGCAGACTTTTAAGTGATTGACATTGGCCACGAAATAATAACATACAACAAACATACATAATGTGCTTTTCCTTATATATGTGTTTATTCTAAGGCTTGTCTTTACTCCAAGACATTGACAGTATGAACATCAACAAACGACATAATTTGTTTAAGCGGCAAGCACATAATTGTGCTTGACATTGATGAACGTAAACAATGTGTTTTATTACATTTTATATAATGCATATGTATCACATA